CGCGCCTTTCCTGCGCAGTCGGTGTCTCCACGTCGCTGGGTGAGTGGGGGCCGCTCTGGCCGGGGCTGGGGGATGCAGGGAGGGGGCATCCCAAAGGGAAGGAGCCACGTCCAGGGTTCTCCAACCCCGCCGCTCCCGCGCCTCTCGGGAATCCTCCCTTCGGGTGCTCAGGGAGTGGGGGCTCCCCGGGGAAAACGTGAGGAGCTCTCCAGGGTCCTGACCACTGAGTGGCCGGCGAGGAGGAGTCTCGTTTCGGCCGCCTCGGAGCGCCCCCTCCAGGAGGGGCCACGCGCCCGGTGCTCTCCGAGTGCTGGAAGGGCTGAGGCGGGGGCTCAGAGCGAGAGCTGGGGACAGAGGTTCAGAGAGGGTCTCCGGGGCGGGTTACTCAGGTTGAGCCATGGGTCCTTCCCATTTTGGGGATTGGGGGTCTTTTCGAAACAACCGATTCTTCTACTATCCTCGTTTCCAAGTCTTCCAATTGGGAGGGGCAACTCAGGGTGGCAGAGAAGAGGGGTGCTGGAAGATCTCTCCTGCCCAGCACATCTCTCTGCCCCCGACCCGATGGCCTAGTTCCTTGGACCTTGAGAAGGGGACTAAGGGACACACTCTGCCACCCTAGCCCCACGCATTTCCTCAGTTCCCTCCCACACACTTGTTCATTGGGTCCTCAGCCTAGGGCAGAAGAGGCTGATTTAGAAAGGAAGGTGACCAACTTACAGAAACATGCATGTGACACACTGCTGAGGACACACACAAGTCCCCCAAATGGCCACACAGGCTTATCCCCCTCACATTGTGATGGGTGCATACCGAGTCACATGCACAGATAGGCACATGCACAGATATGAATTGAAACACACGGGAACACGAATGCAATGCAGAAATCAGGGCATACACGAACACATGCATTCACGCACATGCTCACCCACACGCGCGCAGAGCTTCGTGCAAATGCATATACAAGGAACGCCCCTCACTCTGTCTCACAGCCCCAAGCTGGGGGAGATTCACCTGCACACACTCCCACATCCTTGCCCAGAACTGCCTGGCTGTCTCCTCTCCATTGCCATCCTGTCAATCCTCCACACTCTAAGCTCCTGCTCGGAGAGGATCTTGCTGGACTAGATGAAAGGGAAGAGTTGGGGGAGGGTTGGCTGGCTACAAGTCTCCCCTCTGGGTTTCTCTGGAAGAGGGTCCCCTCATAAGTCAGAGAAGAGCTTCAGCTTCCTCTCTTGGGACCTGAAAGCACCCTTGGGAAGAGAAAGATGGCAAGGGTGTCTGAGGGCCCCACGTGCAGCCGGCCATGTGAGAGATGTTGGCAGGGGAGTTGGCTTGTGATGGCATGTGTGAGACGTGGGGTCGTGGGCTGGTGTGTCTTGATGCACAGGGTATGGGAGTTGTGCATGTGTGGTGCTGTGTGTCAGTACGTGTGAGTCGTGGAGCAGAGAGAATGTTGTTATATGTGGAGGCACAATGACCCATGGGTGAGTGTGGACTGGTATGTGAGTGGCATGGGACCCAGTGTATGGATTTAGTGAGCTGTCTAGTGTATGTGTATTATTTATTTGTGTATTATTGTGCATGAGTTTTGTGGCATTTGGTACATGTATATCATTTTTATTTATTTAACACTTATATAGCACTTATATGTGCAGGCATCATTCTATGTGCTTCACATATATTAACTAACTTAATCTCCATAAGAATAATGAGGTAGGTACTATCAACCCCACCTTACGGATGAGGCAGGGAGTTTAAGGAACTTGCCTAATCACATAGCTGGTAAGAGGCGGAGCTGGGATTTAAACCCAGGTGGTCTGGCTCAGGAGCTCAGGCTCACACCTATCTTATGCCACCCTTAGCCAGACACAAGTGTGTAGGAGGACAGGCTGGAGTCTGGGCTGCAGGTGTATTTTGTGGTGAGCAGGCATATGCGAGACAATGAGAGGGCAGTAGGTTGGAAGGAGGAGGACCAGGAGGCCTTTCAGCACCTCCCTGGGCAACTCTGGGAGTCAGCCCTGTCATTCTATGGCCATGTGACCTGAAACAGATCACCTTGCTTCTTTGATCCTGCCTTCTCATCTATAAAATGGGGCTAATCCCTGGGCTTCATTTTGTGAAGGTGAAATGGTATACACCTGTGAAGGCTTAGAAGCTGGCCCTGAGAGGGGCCTCAGTAAATGAGAGCCTTCTTTCCTTTCTCTGCTACTGGACCTGTTCCCTGGGGAGGTGTAAGGGCTGCAGAAATGGTGTGGAGCACATCACAGAAGCAGGATGCCTGGGTATAGACTGTGACCTTGGGCCAGCTCCTCTTTCTCACTGGGTCAAGTGAGAGGCTGAGGTGGCAGGTATCTGGGGGCCCTCCTGGAGTGATCAAAGGATCAGTAAGTCATGACCTCTCCTCTCCATTCTTTGATCTCCTTGGGGACCCAGGTGGACTTGGCTCTGTGGCCATGGGCAAGCAGAATAGCAAGCTGCGGCCCGAGATGCTGCAGGACCTGCGGGAGAACACGGAGTTCTCGGAGCTGGAGCTGCAGGAGTGGTACAAGGGCTTCCTCAAGGACTGCCCCACGGGTATCCTCAACGTGGATGAGTTCAAGAAGATCTACGCCAACTTCTTCCCCTACGGCGATGCCTCCAAGTTTGCTGAGCACGTCTTCCGCACCTTTGATACAAACAGCGATGGCACCATTGACTTCCGGGAGTTCATCATCGCACTGAGTGTGACCTCGCGTGGCCGCCTGGAGCAAAAGCTCATGTGGGCCTTCAGCATGTACGACCTGGATGGCAATGGCTACATCAGTCGTGAGGAGATGCTCGAGATTGTGCAGGTGGGCCCCTGGACCCCTCAGAATGCCAGGCATAGGGCTTGGCAGCTTGCACCCACCATCCCTTTTTATCCTCTGGCCAGTCCTTGTGGGTAGGTAGTGTCAGGTGCTATTCTTATGACCCATTTAAAAACCTCTTTATTAGGAAGTAATTTTCAATTTAAAGAAAAATTGAGTAAACACTCATATATCCTTTACCCAGATTCACCAATTAACATTTGACTACATTTGCTTTATCATCGTTTGTGTGGGTGCATGTGTGTAATGTTTTGTTGTTCTAAACAGGACCCTTTACCCCTAAATAAATCAGGATATATTTCTTAAGAACAAGGACATTCTCTTACATAACCCATAATATGATTATCAGAGTTAGGACATTTAATATAGGAACAATGCTGTTCTCTAACTTACAGACCATATTCAAATTTTGCCAACTGTTTTCATAATGTTCTTTTTTGCCCTGATCTAGGATCACACACTGCATTTCATTTCATGTCTCTTTAGTCCCCTTTAGTCCATAACAGTTCCTTGACCTTTCTTTGTCTTTAAAGATTTGACATTTCTGCAGAAGTACAGGCCAGTTAGGTTTTATTTATCCTCATTTACTCTAGAAGAAACGGATGCTCAGAGAGGTAAAGATACTTACTCGAGGCTACACAGCCTGTGAGTGGGCCACCGGCATCCACTATCTACCCAGCCGCTTTCCAACTAATTATTTGAGGGCCTGCTAAGAGCCTAGTGCTGAGTCAGATGCTTATACACATGAGCTCAGTGCATCTTTACAATGACCCCATAAAGCTCAGAGAGATTAAGTAACTTGCCTAAGGTCACAAAGCATGTAAGTGAAATTGAGCTCAATCTGGCCACAACTCAGAGCTGCTTCTTGAAAGGTGTCTGGCTTCTAGTTCTGGAGTTGGCCTCGATTCTTAGATTGCTCATCTGAAAAATGGGCATAGTGATGCTGATCTTACAGGGAGGTTTTAAGGGCCTGATATGAATGTCGTTTTAGTAGAAATTTAAGTGTTAGCTTTATCTCAAAAACCTCCTAGAGCACCCATCCTCTCAGCCCAGAATTGTATACCATCAAGGCTGTTTCTATCTTACCTATCCAGTTCCTTGTCCACTTTTTCCCTGAGCCTCTGTTTATTCACCTGTAAAGGGAGGATGTTAACTCCCTATTCCATAAGGCTACTGCAGGTATAAAGTGGGATAAGGACTCTGGCAGAGGGCCCAGCATATAATTGGTACTTGGTAAATGTTATTATTTTCTCTTCTGCACATTCTCTGCTCTAGCCAGAATGGCCTTTTCAACATCCTTGGAATGTGCCCTGAGTAATCCTGCTGCACAGTTTTGCACAAGCTCTTGGTCCCTTTCCTTCTGCCTCTCTGAATCCTTTCTCTTCTGGTCCCTCAGCTGTGCTGACTGCTCCCCACTTCCAATTCATCCAGCCCCTACTGGATCTTGACTTTGGCTTCTCTCTTGCTAGGGTCTGGGTCTGCTCTCTCAAGCTAGAGTAGAATGAGCTGCCTTGGAATGTGGTGCCTTCCCTATGCCTATCACTAGGAGAAAGCCCTAATGTTTGTCAATGACTCCCACAGGCCAGGCATTAAATCTCTAGATGATGGACGGTAGGGAGTTCTGGGGGTCCTGGTGAAAGGGTTGGGGTAGCCTGGGTGGTGGGGGATTACTTTGGGATTGAGCAGCAGCTGGATAACAATCAGTGCAGAGGGATGTTCATGTTTTACTATGTATTGTGATTGCACTGGTGTATACTGGGAAATTTCAGCCTTGCTGGAGGTGCCAAGCCAGCTCCATTCCTTGGGCATCCTTGGAACCTCCTGGCTGGCCTCTGCTGTATGGGCCCTGGTTTCCTTCACCACAACCCATCAGTCAGCCCCAGACAGCCAGTGTAGACGGAGCTCTGCGAATACCAGTGACTGATTAATTACAAGTTGGCTCTAGTGAAACAATGAATGAGCAGCGATTCCAGACAATTAATTAGGAGGCCCAGGAGTAAGGATGTCACATGGGAGTGTTCACTCTCTAAGTTGCTCACTCAAGGCCTTCTCAGGACCCAGTTCAGTGATCAGGTGGTAAGTACACTGAAAGGGAAGAGACTACATCTTGGTTGGTTGGGGCTTCCACTCTGATGGAAGAGACAAGTGTGCAGGCCACACTGACCAGCTCGGTGATAGAGGTGCAAATGTGACATCTGGGAGTTAGGGGGACTGAAGGTCAGGGAAGACCTGAGGATGTGGTAGATGAGTAATGATTATTATACAAGCTGCTGTTTACTGACCACTTACTCGAGCCAGTCACTGTTCTACACACATTATCTCATTTAATATTCTAGATAATCCTTATGAGAGAGATGTGATTACCCCTATTTTTACAAATGAGGAAACTGAGGCTAACAGAAGTTAACTACTTCTCCAAGGCTACACAGCAAGTGATTAGTGGAATCAAAATGCCTCTCCAGATCTGCCTTATTTCAAAGTCCCTGCTGGTCATCACCACCCCACAAGCGACTGACTAATCAGCAGCTAAGAGGGAGCAGGTTCTAATCTGGTCGCTGTCATAGATTCCTTTTCTAGCCTCTTTTCTTATCTGAAAAATGGGGATCATGATATCTGCTTTTCAGGGCTGTTGTGAGGTTTAGAAAGAACGTGTGTGAAGTACTCAGCACATAGTAGGTGCCCGATAAATCGTAGCTAGTATTATTGTTCCAGGCAGAGGCTGTAAGTGCCAGGGAAACTGAAAGGTGTGGGGGTGTTTGGTTGTGGCACAATCACCCACCAGGGGAAGCCTGATGGTGGAGAGATCAGCAGAGACCAGAGTGTGAAGTGCCATGAATGCCAAGGGCTGAATGGTTTGGACTTGTTACAGAGGGCAGTGGGAGGTGCTACCTACCGGCTTTCAAAAGGGAAATTCCTGCCAGATGCCAGGCACTGTGCTAAGTTCTGGATATGTGCACTAGCTAGATGTCCATGGCCCTTATCTGTATGTGTGCTAGGGACTAGGAACGATCCTACAAAGGCATAATAATTTCCAGAGAGGTGTCTCCAAAGGAAAAGCCCAGGAAGCTCTGGGCAGCATATGGGCCCTGACCTATCATGGATCACAGAAAGCCTCCTGAAGAAAGCGCCATGTAAGCTGAGCCCCAAGGAGGAGTGGGAGGCAGCAGAAGGAGCGTGGGGCAGCATCCAGAAGGAGCTGAGTGCAGGGGGTGGGGTTAGAGGGAGGCCTGTGAGTGACTAGAAAGAGGGGGTGGCCTGCTGGGCTGGGTACGTGGTGTGGAGATCTGTGTTCGTAAAGAGCTTTCAGAGGCAGTGTGGGAGACAGACCCAAGGAAATCAGGCAGGAAGAGACCAGTATGGAGGCTAAAGCTGTATTTCAAACGAGAAATTTATGGTATGGGAAAAGGGAGGCTTCTGGGAGGAGGTTTCAGTATCAAATAGTTGGAAGACTAGGGTAACCGGTCTGGTTCTTAAGCTTCAAGACCCAGTCTATCCCACAGGCCAAGCCCGTAGGGCTCAGTGTGCATTTAGCTCAAAAACCCTTCTTCGATTCCCTTCCAGAGCTCCTGCACGTGGCGGCTACAGCTCTGGGCCCAGCAGATCCCAGGCTGTCCCCACCCCCGGCAGGTGCTCATTTGCGTTTATTTGCATAATGTTCCCCGCCCCCTTTGGACCCAGCTGCCTCAGGCCTTACATCCCTCAAGGCGACCCTGATTCCCCTTGCCAGCCACAGCAGCATCACAACCTCCTCAGCCGAGGGCCCTTGTTGGCCACTGAGCGCGGGCCACCTGGAAAGCGAGTTTCTGAGAAGCAGCGCTAACCCTATACTTACCCTGGAACATTCGGCCCCGATGTCCTCCAACATCTTTCCTCACCCCTTACACTCAGCCACCCCCAAATTCTCGGCACCTACTCAGAGCTTTTTGCTGGGGCGTCTTTGTACATGCAGATCCCTCTGCCGGCAATTCCTTTCCCACTTTGTGCTCTAAGGGAACTTGGTCAGGGCTCACTCCAAGAGCCCCCTCTTCTAGGAAGCCTTCCCAGATATTTCTTCCTGAAAACCCCGGTTCCCTATGCCTCAGTGACCCCCCTCTCTACCTCATCCTGACGGCAGCGACAATCGTCAGCGTACCTGGGGGCGTCATTGAATGTTAGGGGTGGGGTTTCGGGCAAGCTCTTCTCACTCCCTGCCTTCCCCTCTCGCCCCCCAGGCCATTTACAAGATGGTTTCCTCCGTGATGAAGATGCCGGAGGATGAGTCGACCCCAGAAAAGAGGACTGAGAAAATCTTCCGCCAAATGGATACGAACAACGATGGTGAGGGGCAGGGGCGGGGGCAGGGGCGGGGCCCCCTCTCGCCTGTCTGCTCGGCCTCCCCTCGCTTCACTGCTGCCTTCTTCCCCATCACTGCTCCCCTCACCCCGCAGGCAAGCTGTCCCTGGAGGAGTTCATCCGCGGGGCCAAAAGCGACCCGTCCATCGTGCGTCTGCTGCAGTGCGACCCCAGCAGCGCCTCCCAGTTCTGAGCGAGAGGAGCCAAGTTCCCCCTCTTCCCTGCCTTCACTGGCCCTCTCCCGGTTCTCAGCTTCTTCTCCCTCGTGTCTCTCCAGGCTGGGGGTCAGACTGGGCCTCCCCAACCCCCAGGGTCCGCACTTTGGGGAGGCTATGGAGAAGGGAACCCTACAGTCTCCCCAAGACCCAAGCAAGCGGTTAGCACCCTCCAATCTAAGAGGCAGTATCTCCCTTCAGCAATGATAGGGAGACACAGGCTCTGGCTTGGAGCCAATCCTCCCTTACCTAGATATCAGAATTTCAACCATCCCCCCTCTCCACCAACACACATAGCCACGAGGCCAGCCTTCCCTCCCCCAGTCACGGGCAACCTCCCCCATCCCCGCCCCTGCCCTTGTAGATCTCAGCCTGGGTGGAGCGGGGGAACTATGCCCAGGTGAGGAGCCTGTCTTTCTATTTGGAAGGGAGAGGATTCCAGAGGTGGGGCCGGTGGGGGCGTGTAAGGAAAAAGCTTCCTTGAGCCATTCTTCCCTGCGAGAGGGCCTCAACCCTTCCTGCTCTGGCTCTTACTGGCCTAGAGGCCATGATGCAAAAGGAAAACCTCCTGATTCCAGCTCCCCAGCTGCGGCACCCGTGAACCCCCGCCTGCCTTTCAGCACTTGGATGAACACAGACCTACAGACCCCTCTGTGTATTTTGCCTCCCTCCCTTACACACATACACACACGTGCGCACACGCGCACACACACACACATACAGGCCCACAGACAGAAGGGCAGACACACCTAGAGCCCCACTCACAGCATCCTATGTGGGAAAGAAGCACAGGCCCCTGGCCGAGCCCCCTCTCCTGCTGCATGCATCCCCATGGAGCATCTCTGTTCTTTTTAATAACTTCAGAATAAAGTCTTGTTTCAGTGCAGTGGGCTGGGTGGCCAAGGGAGGGGTTTGAAAGCCGCATCCGGGTTCTCGAGTGGCCATTGAGCCCTTGTGGGCCGGCTTGAAGAATCCTGGCCTGGTCACAGTGTAGAATTGGTTACAGGACCCCAGGAGTCATGGGGCCCAGGCGAGGCATCAGCTGTCAGAGGGTCAGCGGCCCTGAGATGGGGCAGCTCATCAGGTCATGGTCCTCTACAGGCTCTGGGCTTTCCTGCATCTGTGGAGACATAAGAAGCTGCCAGGCTGCAGGATCTGCCTCTGGGTCTCCTCCTGCAGGACATCCAGGGAATGGGAGGAGGGAAGGGCTGGAAGGATCTCTGGGGCACCCCCAATTTGAGCCTGGATACCCCTTCCCTTCCCTCACATCCTGGGCCTTGGGTGTCAGCTGTGTGACTTAGCTGTGAGATCTTTGAGCCTCTAAGCCTCTGCCTTTGGTCCTGGGGAGAAAATTATTGTCCCCGTTCTCAAGTGGGGTCCCCATTAGAGGGATGGGATCTGCCCAGCAAGGGCTCCCAGGAAATATGGGGAGTCAGGGCTGTGGAGGGGGTAACAGGCCTTACAATGTGGTGGCTGCTTTTCCCCCACCAGGGCCTCAGTTCCAGCAGCTGATGGATGAGCTGGGCACATCGCACAGCGAACACACTCTCTGCCACGCAGAACACAAGTGAGATGCCCCAGAGGCACAGGCTGGAGCTCTGCAGGGGAACAAGGGGTAGATATGGCTGTCTGGGGTTGGGGGAAGAAGGCGGGACTCCAAGAACCCTTCCCACCTCTGATGAGCACCTGGTTGACCCTCACTCCATCCCAGGCCTAAACACTCACATAAATGCGTGTGGGGTCGAAGGGACAGTTGGGCGCCAGTGCCAGTAGTTCGGGGCTCCCAAAAGTGCAGGCTGCCAGCAGTGCCCGGCCCTGGGTGGCAAAGGTCACGGCGATCGAGGCCAAGAGGCCGAGAGCACAGGTCAGAGAGAGAAGGGCACAGGCCACGCTCAAGCTAAACACTGCCCAGCGCTGGATAGGAGAGACCACTGGTTAATGGACGTCAGGCTCGGCCCCCGTGAGCAGCTCTGGCCCCTATGGGGTCAGCCTCACCCCCTCCAAGCAGGCCAGGTCCTTTCTACCCCTAAGCCCCATCCCAGAAAGTGCAACATACCAAGGGGATGCTGGGAAGGTAGCGTGACAACACGATGGCTGCAATGCCCGAGGTGATGACCTGTGGGAGACTCAAATCAGCCTTGACCCCTGAACCCCCCTGCTGGAGGATAGTAGGCAGGGGGATCAGGACCACTCTCAGATAAGAATTCCACCAATGACACCTGAAGCCCGCCAAATTCCCCACCCCTACCACCTGCTTAGCCTTGGCCTCATTACCTCCATCTGCAAGGAGGCACTGCTTCCTCATGGTCCAGCCCTGAAGTGATGTTTCTAAAACACAACCACTTCCTGCCTATAACTTTACATGAGTCCCCACTGCCTAGAGCTGTGTATCTCAAACAAGGTCCTGTGTATCCCAGGGCTGCATGTCCCACGATATATATGACTTGTCTCCCTGGAGTGGAAGAGATTTTGGAAGAAACTAAGTAACTCACTGGCAAGGAACTAAAAACAAAATTATTTTAAAACAAATCAGGACCCTTTATGGAGTAGAATTCAAAATCTTAGGAGTAAATTATCCCAGGCTCTCAATGACCTGGCACCGGTCCCATCAGCTTCTATCAGCTTCTGAAACGTACCCTGGCCAGCCTGTTCCTTCATTGCCCTGGATGTGGACACCCATACACAGCCTGCTCATGATGCTGCCCACACTCTGCCTTCTCAGGAGCACCCTTCCTGCCACTCTTCACTTGCTTGGGTTCTTCCACCTACAGGCCTTCCTAACCCCCTTCAGTCCCAAGAGATTTGTGTTTAACCCACCAGCTGCCCCTTGGATCTCGTGGGCTCCATTCAGCCAGGCTTCCTCCCTGAGCCCCCTCACTGTACCAGCCATGGGCTGGACCCCTGGGAGGCAGGTGGAATGATGCGAGGAGCCTAGCAATATTCACTGTGCAGCCATGAGTAAATGCCTCAACCTCTCTTTCCCACTCTGAAGGATGAACTCATGGAAAGAACACTGGCTTTGGTGTCAGACACAAATCATTTCAAATCCAGCTAGGCTTCTCCGTGTCAGCAGGAGGCTGGGTGGTTCTCTGAGTCTTGGTCCACCCCCCTCTGTAAAATGGGGATAATAATGGTTCCATGTTGCTGGGAACAGTGAGGATTAACTTGAGGAAATGAGGGTAAAGTGGAGTCCATCCCCAGTGGACCTCCTAACCCTGAGTTCACAGCCTTCCCTGACTTCTCACCAGGCTGGTAATAGCAATAGTAATAGTAACTCCAAGGGACACCGCACACATCTGTGCAGCCCAGCCCTGTCCCACTGATTGAGGCTCTCCTACTAGCTGGGGCCTGTGATCCTCCTTCACCTAAGCCTTGGGGCCAGCAGGCTGTCTGAGCTTCATTTTGCAGGTGAGGGAACAGTCTTAGAGAAATAAGTCCTTTAGCCAAGAGGTGGCAGGGACCAAACTCACACACACCAATGTGTGGATGTTGCTCAAAAGCTGTCGACACCTCTGCTACTAGGTAGGAAATTGAGAATACCAGGCCCCTTCATTTATGAATTCATCAAACAGGTACTGACATTCAGTCATAACTACAGCTACCATCTATTGAGTATTTAACTATAGACCAGGCCTAATGCTAAGCTCCTGCCAAATTGTTTTTTTTTTAGTATCTCCAGAACAAATCTTAGCCGTTCCCACCTCCAAGCCTTTGCATCTGCCATTCTTTGTACTTGGAATGCTATCTCAGCTTCCTCTACAATCTGTTGGTCCCCGGCATGCCGCATACCTGGGTTATGGTAATTGCAGCCTATCTTTGAACTCCTACTCATCCATCAATACTCAGCTCAAGGGCCTCCACCTCCCTGAACCCTCCTGAACCTTCCTGAACCCTCCCAAACTGAGCCGATGTTCATTCTTTCTGTCCAGTGGTGCCTCAACTATTTTCCTATGTAATGATAATCCCAGCTCACAGTAGTGAGCACTAACCATGTGCCCGACACTGTGCCAAGCCCTTTATGTTGATGATCTCATTCAATACTCATCAGCACCCTGTGAGGTGAACGTTGTTACAATCTACAGTTTCTGAACGAGGAAACTGAAACGAAAAGAGGTTGAGTGGATTGTGCAGCTGGTAAGTGGCAGAGCAGGGGTCAGTGCTCAGGCTCTCTGCTTGCTCACCCCAGGCTTTGAGGTGGAGACTCATCGAAGACCTTTCAAGCCCCCTCCAGCCCCTGCCAGCCACCCTCTCAGCCTGGTCATACCACGATGGCGGAAGTGACAGAGAGGATGTTGACCACGCAGTACTGCACAGCCACAGCATCATGAGGGGCAATCACGTAGCGTAGCACAGTGCCATGGAGGAGAGCAGCTGCAATGAAGCTCACGTGGCCCAGCACCACCAGCACCAGCCCTGTCTTCATCAGCACCTTCCGGAAGTCGCCCACACTCAGGCCACCTGCTGGAGACAGCTGTGTCAGGGCCAGGGGTGGAGCTTATCCTGCTGGGCAGAGGAGAAAACTGAGGCCCTGGCAGGAGTGATGGACATTGGGTCCTAAATATTTCTGGATAAGTTGGGGCCATTAACTTGTCTTCTCTGAGCCTCAGTTTCCTTATCCAGAAAAGGGGTTCACAATGCCTTTAATGAGTCATTGGAACTCTGAGGTTGGAAAAGCACACAGGTGGTATTAATAATGGGTAGTAGTCCTTGTCAGTGCTCACGAGTGGCAGGTCTAGGATTTGAACCCAGGTCTTTAGTTCTAGACCCATGATCCTTCTACTTAACTCTCATTCACTGATTTACTTATTCATGTGTTTATTACACAAATGTTCACTGAGTGCCTGCTCTGTGCCAGGCCCTGTGGCACCATGATGAGCTTAATAGTCACTATCTGGCTTCGAGGAGCCCCTAGGTCATTGGGCAGGGATCAGGTCCTGCCCAGGATTCAGTCTGGTGCATAGGGCCTAGCACTCTGCAGATACTCAGCTCACAACTGCTGAACTGAACTGGCTAGAAGTGGGTGACTCTGGGCAAGAAGCTCAAGCCTCTGAGTCTCCATTTCCTCATCTGTAAAATGGAAGAATAACCCTTATATCACAGTTGGGCAGGAGGGTCCCATGAAGAGATGGATGAGAAAGTAGGGCATACCCTGGGGGTGCTGGGAAAAACAGCTCTTGGTGCAGGGGCGCTGGGCAGGGACTGTGCACATGGGGGAGGGCTGGGATCAAAAGAACATCAGGAACTTAAATGCAAATTCTGAGTGACCAAGTGGCTGCCCAGCCATATCTGCACACTCCCAGGAACAGGGAACTCTTCTGCTTGGGCAGCTCAGGCCGTTCCAGATTTGCTCTCTGGAATTTCCCCCATAGGTCCTGGAGACATACACCATGCTGGTCCCCTGGCCCCGCCAGCCCCTTCTCTAGCCAGCTCCGTGACACTAGAAGACTGTCCAGGTCCCCAGAATTAAATGGTCCCTTCTTCCTTTAGCTATTCCTAGTGGGACCTGACTGAGACCCTTCCTAGACCTCAATATCATCATCTGTGGATAGTTCATACATGAGAGCTTGGCAGCTAAAAAAAGAAAGAAAGAAACAAAC